GCTTTCTGGATGATCTGATGATTTTTAGTAGGATCTCAAGAAGCTGTGACATATTCGAATGGTATTGACTTACACATAAGTTTAACATTTGCAAGGTTTGCTCCTCTGGCAAGCCTTGGTTATGTCTCATCATAGCTCACTTGACCTTTAACCAAGCCAACAGCGAGTGAGGTCTTGACTCTGTTCTTCCTGCGGGCCTAATAAGGTAGTGCTTCCATATGCATTGGTTGTAATAATTAGAGGCCAAGTATTTTGACCTATCCTATACATACTTATGGCGTTGCCCAAATTAAGTGAAGTTGAAAGCTGCTTAAGTACCTGTTCATAAAAAAAGAATAGTTGGGTTCATTGGTTGAAGGGCATACGAAACGATATAAATAGATGGTGGTACAAGATTGATTCCTGTCTAAAACCATCATTTTGGACGTTATGTAAGGAAAGGACCCAGAGATCCTTTGAGGGGTGTTTCACTTGACATTCCTTCCATACTGTTTAAATTATTTTGTTGTAGCAGTCCTTGTGATGTAAATGATGCAAATCAACTGTTTTGACTTTGTTTGCTCGTTAAGCTTTTTGTAGGAGTCTACCAGATATTTTAATATATTGCATCCACTGGATGCATCAGATCGATAGAATTCTTGTCACTTGATTTTAAAAAAAAAAATCTGGTCATGACAATTAAGAATTTGGTTTGGCTGGTTCAAAATTGTGCTTAATGAATACTTAAAAAATGTACAGCTGGGTTTCTTATTGTAGTGGCAATGTAATAATGTTTTTTTACCTTTTTTTCTGAAAATGCTTGTAGCCGACCCCAGCTAGCTTGGGATTGAGGTATAGTTCTGAAAATTCTTGCAAAGGCTTTTACAATGCATTGTTTTTGTTTTTATGAACAGTGCAGTCAGTAGAACCGTTAACAGCAGTCAGTAGAACCGACATCAGTTTACCTATTAAAAAAGTAATGACATCTGTTAGGATAAGGGATTATGTTATTGTTTTGTGCTTACTAGCAATGAACCTTTTGGGAAATAGTACGCTCTGTTTCCTTTCCTATCACATACAGATTCTGGGAGGAGGTTTTAGCTGAATGGGGTTAAGAGACTTAAAATACATAATGAGAGCCTGCTTACAAAATGGCTACAGAGATATTCCTCAGAGGAAAATAGATTATGGAAAAGGGTAATTCAGAAGAAGTACAGAGAAAAGGATTGATGGAGTGCAGCAGTTGCGAGTAGACCTCATGGTGTAGGAGTCTCAAAATTTGTTAGAGTTCAGGGGCAGATGTTATTAAAGTTTGAGATGGGAGGATAGTGAGGTTTGGCATGATTCCTGGATAGGTCATTCTCCACTCTAAGTTAGATATCCTGATTTACTCAGTATGTCAAATAAAAGTGAAACCACAAAAACTCAAGTCATAACAGAAATGGTTGGTTTGAGAATAAGAAGAGACTGTTTTGATTGGAAACAGCTAGGCTGTATGACCTGCTAAAGGATGTGCATCAGGGATTTAAGTTAACAGAGGAGGACAGGCTGTAAATAGATCAATGAAAATGGCAGATTTACTGTGCGATCTCATTACAAAATTTTCAGTAGAGAAAAAGCATGTTTTTGATTTTTTTCCTAAAGGTCTTGGAATTTAATCTGGAGATCAAACACTCTTTTTAAAGTCTCTTGCTTTTGCTGGGTATTAGCTCATGATTCTTGTCTTACTCATGCGTATCATACCTGCAGCAGGTGGCTATTTTCTGAAGGAGAAATAGTTGTTCAGAAGGCAATTGTGGAAGTTGTTTTGTTACATTTTCTATGTTAAATTGGTATGGCAAAGTCGGTCAAAGAAGCCTTTGGAAGCTGGTTGGGTCAAAGTAACAACAAAGAGCTCAGAGAGATGTGGTAGGCTATCCCTCCATGTGTGCGGTGGACCATTTGGAAGAAAGAAATCAAAGGTACTTTGAAGGAAAACCTGCCAATGGACATAAGTTGAAATCTAGATGTATGTTTGTGTTGGCTTTATGGTCTAGATTACAGAATGTACACACAGAGGAGGACATGTTAGAGTTTATTAGATCTTTAACTGACTAATTAGAACTCCCTTCGTTTCAATTTATGTGACGGAGCTTGACTCAACACGGAAGTTAAGATAGAAAGAAAGAATTTTGAAGCTTGTGGTCCTAAACCTTCCATGACATTTTGAGCCTCAAAAGCATGCAACTAACCATAAAATGAGAAATTTAAAATTAAATTATTCTCAAATATAAAATGGTGTAATGAGCGTTAGCCGGTTTTGGTGTGCCTGTCAAGGGCGTTAGTTGGATACCTTCGGGTGATCATCACCACCTGCACCTCTCATAAGGCGCAGTGGTGACCCGCGTGTTGTTCCATTCAACTATATTTGTTCCTTTAATCCATAGCTTAAAAGAAAACATCAATGAGGGATAATCCGCCCATACAACCAGCGGGAGGGCGACACTACTGGCAAAGATTGTCTAGTGAAAACGCCGCAGGCGCGAATTCTTCTTAGAACGGACTAGTATGGAAATAGTATCACATAAAATTGAACAAGTAACTTTTTGCACGGGCAACAACTTGTAATCTTAGTACTGTTTTTTCATCAATGAATGAATAACTTGCCTTTACCAAAAGGAAAAAAAAATCTAGGAGGATTTGGGGGAAATATTTGAGAGGGTTTGAGGGGCTTCTTCCTACCTCCCACCCCCATAACGATCCACCACCTCCAACCCACAAGTTGTGATCTGAATCAAGAAGTTTTGTAAATACTTAGTAGGGCCAGGGTTAATATTGTACCTGAAGTATGCGAAATGGAACATATTTGTTCTCCGTTAATAGTTGGGGTCGAATGTGCCACTTGCCATTACCAAAATGGGTCATATTTGCCCTTATTTTCAGATGGCGGAAGCTTAGGACCAAGTGATGCCAACGTGTCTCGCAATTAAGGGTTTATTTTTTGACCCTCCTCCCTAATTTTTTAAATACTTTTTTCCCTTGATTTCCACTTCTTTCTCCCCGCCACAACCTCTACCACCAATCATCTTCCGTCTTTTAAAATTTTATTTCTTATTTAACCCCCCCCCCTCCCCCCCGACGACCTCCCACCAATTACCTTTCCTTCCTCCTCCGTCCCCACCACGCTACCACAACCTCCACCACAAGAGGGAGTGCCGTAAACGACTTGAACATGAAACATAGAATACTATTTAATGCATGTGCATGGGCGCATAGAGGTCAAAAGATTATTGAAAATCTAGCCCTTTGTTTCAAATAAAAGAATTCCAGTACCTTCTGCTAATAAATTCAAAACAAATAGTATGATCATAAGAGCTGCAAATTGACTGTTACTTAAGAGCGGTAGAAAAGCTGAGGGTCTCTCGGAAACAGCCTCTCTATCCCTCCGGGGTAGGAGTAAGGTCTGCGTATATTTTACCTTCCCCAGACCCCACTTGTTGGATTTTACTGGGTTGTTGTTGTTGTTGTACTTAAGAGCGGTAGAAACAACACATACAAGTAAACAAAGTTGAAATGTTTGTGGTGCCTTCATAATATTTCGTGAACTATTGCGATATCGGCAAAGAAGTGTGAGTGACAAAGGGATAGAGAGAGAGAAATTGTGGCAGTGAAAAAAAGACGAGAAATGATGGATCTGGCAGTGAAGGGGTGAGGTGGTGGTGGAGATAGTGATGGCAGGGATAGAGAATGAGGAAGGAAGGATGATTGGTGGTGGAATAGTAGTTGGGAGAGACAAGGAGGAATCATAAAAAAAGAATTAAAATACACGTGGGAGAAGGGTCAAATTTGCCCCCGAACTATGGGAAAGGTTGATTTGCCCTATGTTCACAAAAGTTAACCTTAATTATAGGACACATGGCATTACGGGATGCTAAGCTTTTGCCATTTGAAAATAAGGGCAAATTTTACCCATTTTGGTAACGGCAAGGATACATTTGACCCTAACTATTAACGGACGACAAGTTTTTCCCATTTCGCCTAGTCATAGTGTGGCCAGGATGAGAGCCAGTTGATGATTGTTTGAATCCGTTTCTAAATTATGTGCACATTGTTCTCTGTAGAATGATTAGGAATTCAAGTTAAGTATCAATCTTTGTTATTCTTGTTTATCTGGAACAGAAACAACAGTATAGATAATTGATATATTCTGCTATAAGGTTCCAAAGATCATGAAACACACTGGTTCGTTATTTTTTCTAAAATTTTTCTTTTGCGGAAATATTTGTGTAAGATTTCATTTTTTTTTTTTTTTTTTGTAAATTTCTCTTGTGGAAATATTTGTTCTGAAGCAGTGCCGCTAAAGTCAAAGAAACAGTTTTATGGTCAATCTGGTAGTTCTCTATATCAAAAGACCTTTACGACTAATGAGGATATTCATTTTTTTCCTTTCCTAAATTCTCTTTTCATCAAATCAAAGATGTTGCCCATGATAGTGACTTTGAAAGTCCAGTTAAGGTGCGCGAGAAGAAAGTTCAGGATTGGTAAAAGAAATGTATTTGGTTTTATTAAAGTACACCACAAAATGTATACATTGTGCTCTTTAGTTGCTTCTCTCAAGACCTCTGTTCATATTTTTTGATTCTTTAATTTTAGTAGTTGTGCGACTGACTATCCAGTAGGCCATATTTGAAGCTATGCTGATATTGAATTTATGTGCTATCAGTTGGAAACATGGTGCTTTTACTCTACCCGTCTGGCTGGTTATCACAATTTGAGTTGACCATAAGTGTGGGCCTGGGGCCATGGATACAATATTTTGTTTCAGTCTGCTATGAGCTTATAGTACTTCTTATCTTTAGCTGAAGCCACCTTGTCTGGCTAGTCATCTTGAAGGACAATTATAATCCGATGTTAAGTGCATGTCTTGTGCAGTTCTGTTGCCCAATTTAAATATTAGTTCAAGTTTGTATAGAGTAGGTTATGCTCAATCTGTAGTGATGCATTCATGGTGATAGAGTGCTAAATTTTGATATGTGCTGCAGGGCGTTTGTGGGTGTGACAGATTTACAAGTGGGTCAATTAGGGATGTTTTTCGAGTAATAGTGAAGAAAGATGGATACAGAAGTCTCATGAGAGGCTGGATGCCAAGGATGCTCTTCCATGCTCCTGCTGCTGCCATTTGCTGGTCGACATATGAGGCTGGCAAATCCTTCTTTCAAGAGCTGCATACTTCCAGCAGTGGTGTGACCTGAGTACTGAATTCCGCCAGCAGTAGTGTAACCTTTAGAAGAGGTATCATTTCTCAACTGTTGAATTCTCCATACATCTTCTGTGATTGAAGACGACTTTCTTCTGTGATGGAAGACGACTTCTACTCGCCGGGAGAGTTAAGACACGAAAATAGAGAGCAAACTCCGTGTAACAGTATGTATAACGGGTGCAGTCGTATGCCATTTATTTAGTCTTGTAACTTATTCAATTCTAATAAATTGGTATAATTGAGTGACCCCTTTAGCATCGTTTAACTGCATTAGTTGCGTGGAAATCCATTGTACCTGCTTTGGAGATTCTCATGGAAAAGTAGGGTCCACTGGATTGGAAAACTGAAGAAATTTTTGATTATTCATTGATCACCACGAATGTTTGGTGCTCTAAAAGAGAAATGTACCATTTTCATTCCTGTGGCATTATTTTGCTTCCTGCCCTTGTTCCGCCTTGTTCAATGTTTATTAACTATTAGGCTAAGTTCGTGCTACCAAGTTGCCTCGTCTTAGGTGAGTGAAGGCATGAGAATTAGTTGTTTCTTCATGGTTGTTTTTTGAATAATTAAAGAAGAAAATTTTAGCACTCCAATGAAAGGGATCCAACATTCAAAATGCAGCAAAGTTGTTCATGATAAAGATACCAGGAATCGTATACACGACAGAATTGGCAGACAGCTGCCTGCCCCATCCCTCTTTTTAGCTCTTAAAACTGGGATTTTTCCCTCGTCCTCGAGTGACATACCAAAGACTCTGAAATGAGCATCATCATTCGTGCTAAGAACGAGCTTTTAACCTGCGCAACAACTGTAATTTCATCAAGCGTTTCACCTGTTGTAAAAAAACCATTGTCAACCAGATATCTCCTGGTCAAAAATATTATCAGAGAGCCCATTCTGATTGTGTCTCCATCTCTCAACTCTGCTCTATTGATCCTACTATATGCACACAAACAAAAGCACATACAGGAGAGACAAGTTCTATAATAAGTACATGTACATCATCAAAAACTTTTCTGGTGCAACGGAAGAAATTTAGATCCGCCTCCTAAGTGCATCTATTATAATATGCTTCACACTAGTCATGGTTCTTATAAACCTATACTCCAATGAATTTTGAGATGTTCTACAATGTTTGATGAATTTCCTTAATAAACTAGATCTTTCAATATCTCTATTATATACAAAATTATAAATTGGATTTTTTCCAGATAAGCACCGGTAGTCTAATGGTAGAATAGTATCCTGCCAATGTATAGACTTGGGTTCGTTCCTGGCTGGTGCAATTTTTAAATTTTCTTAATCATTTTTTAACCCTTTTGGGATTTTCCTTGTTTACAGGGACGCGTGTTTATAAGCAGTGTTAGGCGTTTTCAGGGCGAGGCGCAAAAAAAACGTCCATAGGCGATGTTGTGGGGCTAAAGTCTTAAGAGGCGTACGCCCAACAATTTAGGGCGTACGCCCGAGCGTTTGAGACACGTTTTTGTAGTGAGGCGTAAGCTCTAGATACTTTTTCAAATTAAAACAAAATTTGTTGAATAAGTCATTCATATAATACCCAAATTCTCAAAACTCAGCTTGTAATTACTCAAAAGTTTTTAAAAGGAATTGAAATATATTAAATTTAAAAGTCAAGACTTTTTTTATTGATTAAAACCTTAATTTATGGACTTTCCAAATTCTTCATCTTGTTCGCTAGTATGCTAATATCTCTCAAAACAACGAATATTCAATTTTTTTTACAAATACAAAGAGAACTCCATTCTCCTTCATAGCAGCAAGTTCAAAGTTCAAATTGCAGGTTAGCCATTCTTTTTGTTCCTCCATGTAGAAAACTTTATTCTTTTCGACTTAAGTTACTTGTGCTTGTATGTAGCGTATAATAGATTATTTTGACTAGTTTTTTGTGGGGATGGAGCACATATATATATATATNAGAATATATAATGCATATTATAAAAATATTTTTATTTAAATAATTATTTTTATATTACGTGCATGGAATATATATTTTACGACCTTTATTTTCTTTCATTCTGAATTCTGATAATAAATTTTTGAATTTTTTTTGTTAATACTAAAATTATTGTTACAAATAAATTATTCTAATTAATTTTTTATTGTGCTCATTATTTTGTTATTCCAGCATTATTGATGCTTAAAAACTTTTTATTTTTTTAATTTAGAAATAATATTAATTTATTCTATAGGTAAGTCCATAATATAAATTAAAAAGGGAAAATAATAATATTAAAAAGTTTAAAAAAATAATAAAGAAGATATAATTGAGAGGGTAAATTAGGTATTTGGCAATACAAAATTTGAAAAATATAGTTGAGTGACGTTCTGAGTGCAATAGGCATAGTTCAGTAACTTTATTGTTACAAATAAAGAAAAGTGACTTTAGGAGATAATTTGAGATAGTTGAGTGACGTAATTGACTTGCCGCAGACATAGGAATACATAGAAGTAAAATTGCTTAACTAGGCCGATTTACTGGAACTAAGAAGCCATCTTCAACCACAAATGAACAATTATTTGAAAAAGAGAAACTTTCAGAATCTACTATGTTTTAGTGGTTATTAACTAGTTGTAGCTACCATTTACTATATTACTTCCTATAGCTATGTTTTTAGATTTTTTAGAGTGTATTCGATGTATTTAAGATACTGTATTCATGAATACAGTAGCATTTCTAGGCGTGAAATAGGGGATTACAGCTAGACAGATTTTTGTATTCGAGTGTATTCGACGGTATTCATGGCGTGAAACATGGGATTACAGCTGGACAGATTATTGTATTCGACTGTATTCACGGCGTGAAACAGGGGATTACACTGTTTTAAAACGGAAAGTGAATCAATTAACATAATAGACTCCTAATATAACTCAACAAACTCAATTATAACACACAAATTTTGTATTTCCAGTTATAAAAAAGATTCTCAACCGAAAAACACCCCAAAAACATAGCAATCTTCAGAGAAATTATATAATACATATGAATACATAAATTATATTAATTAAAAAAAATATATGAATACATTCATGGAATATAGCGAGACAGTGAATACGATGAAATTCATAGAATACAGCGGGATACATTGAAATACAATGAAAAAAAGACAATGAATACAACGAAATACATAGAATACAGCGAGATACATTGAAATACAATGAAAAAAATACAATGAATATAATGAAATACAGCGAGATACATTGAAATATATTAACGAAAAATTCAAGTTGCTCAGCCCCCAACTCCGTCGTCTTTGTTCAAGAACAACCCTAATGTCGTCTCGTTGAAGTAGCATCAGTATCCAGTCCTCGCTCGCCGTCACCGTTGCCTCTGGTTGCCGAAGATTAGCACGTAATTACCGGCGAAATAACGGAGGTTTTTGTTCATCCGATATGTTGCGTCAGTGAATGAGATTGGGAGGCTGAGGGCGGCGATATCAATGAATAACGGCCACGGTCAAAACGGTGATGGTGGCAATTGCTCCAGCGTCCAGCGGAGGAGAAAACATCGGGAAGTAGAGAGAGAGAGAGAGAGAGAGAGAGAGAGAGAGAGAGAGAGAGAGAGAGGAGAGAGCAAAAACATGAAGTTTGGAAAAAGGCAAATTTACAATGGGAATCTTTTGAAGGCCTCATTAAGCATGCCGTGGACCAAAAAGAGTTGGAGAGAGAGAAAGAGAGAGAGCACAGATATGAAGTTGAAATCCTTATGAAAGGGGCATCAACTATGTACATGAACTAAAAAGGACTTGGCGCTTAGAAAGCCTTGGCCTTCTTGTTTTAAAAATCCATTTGTATTACTGTTGCAATTCATGGATGCTTCATTTATTGAACTCCAGCTACCAGATACAGGAACACTAATATACTATAGCACCTAACTATGTTTGATATTGGTGTCTCATAATTGCTAGATATCAGCTCTTCTACCATTTTATAGATTTTATGTTCAAACCAATAGGAATAAGTATTTTATGATAGTCCTCTCACACATTTTCTTCAAAATTCATAACTCCTAGAGAACTACTAAAGTAATACAATCTACTAAAACTTATATAATTGGAGAATTAGAAGCAGATGTAAAATGATATATAGCAGAATTACATTAGCTGTCAATTACAGAGAACCAGATAAAGTCCCAACAATCTCAATCACAGAGGAACCTTTTTACTTCAACATCTGTCACTATATGCATTTGCTGAAATACCAATCAAGAATATTAAAGTATGTTTGAGCAAGAACTAGGAGGCCAAAACAGCTGCAAATATGAAACGTAACTTAGATGCATGATTAAATAAGTCTCTTAACAGATAAAACAATTTTTACCACAGAAGGCCTAAAAGATCTATATCTGATGAGAAGAGTAAATAGCACAAAGCCCTTTAATTGTCCATAAGAAGAAACCAGCTTTGTTATAATGACCAGGGTTTTAAAAGGCGTTTTCGGGGCGAGCCCTGGGGCGAGGCGCACCAAAAACGCCCTAAGGCGATGGTGTGGGGCGAAAGTCTCGAGAGGCATATGCCCAGCAATTCGGGGCGTAGGCCCCGGCGTTTGAGGCACGTTATTTTAATGAGGCGTAAGCCCAGAGACTTTTTCAAATTAGAACAAAATTTGTTGAATAAGTCCTTCATATAATACCCAAATTTTCAAAAGTCAGCTTGGTAATTTCTCAAAAGTTTTAAAAAGGAACTGAAATGTATTAAATTTAAAAGTCAAGGCCTTTTTTATTGATTGAAGTCCTAATTCATGGTTTTTCCCAATTCTTTATCTTGTACCCAAGTCTGCTAATATCTCCAAAAAGAAACGAATATTCAATTTTTTTTACAAATACAAAGAGAACTCCATTCTCCTTCATAGCAGCAAGTTCAAAGTTCAAATTGCAGGTTAGTCATCCTTTTTGTTCCTCCATGTAGAAAACTTTATTCTTTTCGACTCAAGTTACTTGTGCTTCTAAATAGCATATAATAGATTGTTTTGACTAATTTTTTGTGGGGATGGAGCACCTCTATATATATATTTTTCACATATTTATAGTTTTCTTCAATTTTTATGCAATTTAACCTGTTTATAAATATTTACTGTAATCATATTATTTTATAAAATATTAAAAATTAAATATTTATGGGGCTTACGTCTCGCCTTACGCCCACGCCTTTTAAAATACTGATAATGACCTATACTGGAGCACAACAACAACACCAACTTTTGTCCCAGAAAAATAATTTCTTGTATAAGATTGGGATATCCTACTCACCCTTGCACAAGTAATAGTTTAAACAAAAATAGATCTTCTATAGTTCGTATGCATCAGCATGCATTGTAGCTTTCTTAATAGTTGTCTAAAGTAACACAAGCAGCATCATATACAGGTCAGAGTAAAATGATTTTAGCTGTACATGGTAGATTCCAAATGTAAAGGTCAGAGT